CACATCTCTTGAAATTGGGGCATCTTCCCCTTAAAAGTGAAAATGTCAGCGTTTCAAGGAATAACATTAGGCAATGCGCATGAAAGACCCCGTTTATATTAATTTTAAAAAAAAGACAAATTTAATTTTAACTTGTAACATGACATCAACCGTCATCCATCCATTTTGGACTTTACATCTGATTTTATTTTTCATAAAATAATAAAATCTATATTATTGCGCCAGTAAATCCACTTGCTTGCAATTTCTCTCTTTTTTTTTTTATATACAATAAACTTTTATTTTTCATAAAATAAAAACACTAGATACAAATATTGTTGAGATATGCCGGAGATATATCGTATAATGAAGATCTTATCTAATCCAGAAAATATATATTTTAAAATATTTATTATTATATCTATTCTCTCATCTATTTATGTGTTATTCTGATTATAAATAAATATATCATCATTCCACAAATTTCTATAAATATCTAATTTAAACCTAGTTTTAGAGCCGTTTTTGTAAGATCAAATCAACTGAATTCCAACCCGCGTGTGTATGAAGTTTTGCAATAAACAAGCCATGGATCGAGTGTCTTCTTCTTCTTCTGATTAAACAGGCAAATCTAATACATATATACATACACGGTTAAATGTTTAGGGTTCTTGTTTTATATAAACGGTTCCGCTGCGTGGATCCTAGATATACACTCGATCGGTTCGGTTTTCTATGTGGTTCGGGTTGTTTTTGATTCGTTTCAATTGGTTGGTTCTCCGGTTTAGTCCGGCTTGATGTGAGGCCGATATAGTGTTAATGTCTTGGTTTCTGATTTGGTTTAGGTCATTTTTTTTTTCCGAACATGTCATTAATTAGTTTTCCGATATCTTGATGGTCGAATCTTTGTTCGAGCCGTGGATGCTTCGTCTTGGTATGTCGAGGATTGATTTGACATTGATATTCTATTCGATTTGATTATGATATTAATGATTTACAGCCATCGATCCGTTTTGTTTCGGAGTTCTAATGTTTCATTTGATATCAACCAAAATCAAAACAGGAAATATTCTTATATTCTCTTTAAACGCGATCATGTTTTAAAACTAAATATTCTAACTGCAATTGGGTGTGAATTTATTATTTAATATAAAAATAAACGAAAAAGTCGAACAATTGTTTTATAAAAAAACAAAGTATGTTGACAAGAAAAATTAAATTCAATTAAAAAATAGTAAATATAATTGTTTTATAAAATTTAGAAGAAAATATGATCTCTAACGAATCCACGCCTAAAAGCTGAACCAATCCTGATCCAATTTTTTTTTATTTTTATTTTTTTAAATAAGAAAACACAACCCTAAGAAAAAAGAAAAATGAAAGATGCTGCCTAAGAAGGAAGAGCAGCCCAGCCCAAACCATTTAGCCCGTCCGTGCATTAATGGGTTAAGCCCAAATCATATGAACACTGAAAACATTACTACTACTGTTATCGACATCTATATAAATGGTGTACCCATTTGACACGTAACATTCTAGTTTTATATTCACCAATTTTTTTTCCATGGTCTCATTGGTTGAAAGTTACATGTTTCATCATCATCATCATCACCTTTGACAAAAAAAAAATAAAATCATCATCATCATCATATATATATATATAAGCAATAATAAGAATATTTCTAGTGAAACATCTTTCACAATCTCTCTTAATAGGATACACGTTTCGGTATTCGATTCGATTCGGATTCGAATTATGAATAATTCAATTCGATTCTTTTGGCTTTACAAAAATAGGTATCAATCGGTTATATTATATTCGTTTCGGTTTCGGTTTCGGTTTCAATTCCGGTTCAGTTTTTATTTTAAAAAAAATTATATCTTCTTTAAAAAATTTAAATTTTCAGATTTTTTTAAAATTCTGTTCGGTTCGTTTTAAAAAAATCGGGTTTTCTACAATTAACACTGTTTGATTCGGTATGATTTGATTTCGAAACTCCCACCGTTGTGTTGTCAAAAATAGCATTTGTAAATTGTTTCCGGCGACGTGGAGAGGGGGGGAGTTTGTCAAACGAAGGACAAATTGCGTTTGCGTTTCAGCGAAGACGCGTCTCCGTCAAACGCAGTGTTAGCGTTAACAGCTGTCGGCAAGGTATTCTCCACGTACATGGCCGACCTGTCACCCTAACCTACCCTATGCCCTTATAATTACCGTTTTACCCTTCAACATAAAGTTGAAAACGGAAAACATAGAAATTACCAGAAACTTCCGAATTTGCTTCCACGCTTAGATTGCGACAATATCATATGGTGGAACAGTGGGCACACATTATATATATATAATCCCATTTATTCTATTCTAAAAAATTCCTTTGATATTTATTATACATTTTGTCCTCAATTTTTATGCTAAGTTACCCAAATCTGGAAACCAAATAACAAAAGCAGGTTGCCGACAAACATTGTTACATGACTTTTATATATATATACACATATATATATAAGTCTGTTGGGTCTTTTCACTAGAAATCAAATCTGATACAAAAGTTTTCCTTAGGAAAGCCATGGAAACCGCAAATTGACAAGATCTTGATAACCCATATAGATATTTATTTGGACCGATCAAATTATTCATCTCACAAAAATATTAGGTATCTTCCTTTGGATTAAGCAAGAAGGGTTCTCTCATATTTTTATTTCAATGAATGTCCTACGTTTTAAGATGACAATAAAGTAATCGATACTAATTTGATTTTTTTTTTTTGCAAGTGATATAATTTTTTTCAATCCACATTATAATCGGATCCAAAAACATGATCCATAACTAATCATGGATTAAATGAGCCTATCCATTTAGATAATTATATCACTTCGTCGGTAGAAAACTCTAAATTCTTAATTATATCTAATGCATGTGTGATTGACATTTTACAATGTAGATTATTTAAATTATATTTTATAATTTAAAGTGATACTCACTTTATGATGGTTGGTTTAGTGATCATCATATGTGAGAAATGGTTAGATACCACTTATACAGAGAAGAAATGTAATTAATTACGTGACTAAGATGCGTCGAAGTAAACCTCGTGATTAAAAAAAATTAAAATGTCACAATAATATAAAGATAAAAGTTAATATCTCATACTAATTAATATATAAGAATTAAGTTGAAATTATAAAGAGACCAATAACAATCTCACCTAGCATCACCATCAGCTGCAGTGTAACTTTGAATTTGGTTGAAGTGGGCATTGGGCAAACCATATAAAGGAAATAACTGTTTGTAAACAACTTTTGAATGTAACATATACTTTTTGTTAAATGAAAATGAAAATGAAAATGAAATAATGGTATTAATTGGTTTGTGGGTCCAAATCTTTGAACTGATGTCAAAAAGCCTCACACATTTCATGCCCTTTTGACCGAAACCATTCCACCATTACATTATTTCCAGACTCATTTCTCTTTTGTCGTTGATTGCATCAAGGCTGAATCCAACGGTCGAGATTCATCCCCAAACCTTTGCATAATTCATCCCAAATATTTCTAACAGGTTTTCTTCCTCGCATGTAATATATGAGATGATTTTTAAACTGCTAACGGTGGAAATCAGATTTTGTATTCTATAAATATCATCAGAACAATCTATAATTAAATTGTAGATCTACTACTAATCTATGACTTATCAATAGAAATACCAGTATGAATATTTTTATATCTAAAACGATACAAAAGGAGCGTACTTGACTGATTCAAATAAAGTTTTAATATTTTCGGACGGTTTTATTTTAATTCAGCTTATAGTTTATTATTAAACGTTAAGCTTTCCTTATTCCCTTTCTAGTGGCATAACTCAGAACCCAACACAGACCATTCTTGTGTTCCCCACAAAGAATCCCAATATTTTTATATATATATATATATATATATATATATATTACAGGAAT